GTAGAAAATTATGTAACAACTCCAGATAAAGGAGGTAATGCAGATAAATTTAATTGGGTCGTAGATACTGCAGCTACAACTCATTTCTGTAATAATAGAAATTTAATGACAAATTTCGAAGAAATAAACGATATATGTATGTCTTTAGCTGTAGGAAATTGTGAAAGTAAAGTACTAGGAAAGAGTACTGTCAAATTTGCAGTAAAATTTGCAGTGGATATACTTTAATAATTGGGATAGATTATGCTACGGTAAACGATGACGGACTTTATCACGTAAAACCATTTAGATATGCAACAGGTAAAAGAGAAGCTGGTTACGGTGCAGAAATTGGAAGGTTAAATAAAGTAGACGATGCAATGCTATGGCATCGGAGATTTAGCCACGTAAAATTTGATTATATTAAGAAAACTAGTAAGAATCAAAGCTTGAAAGGGTTACCAGAAATTGGAAAACCAATGAAGAGTTGTGAACCGTGTATTATTGCTAAATCTAGTAGAATAACTTTTAAAACTGTTCCAAAGAGATCAGACAAACCATTGCAGTTGGTTTATTTAGACGTTTGTGGCCCACTACCAGTTCCATCTAAGGGTGGGAGTAAATATTTCCTTGCTATTGTGGATGACTATAGTAGATCAGTAACAGTGTATTGTATGAAACATAAAAATGAATCGTTCTACAACTTTAAGAATTATCATAGGCAAATGGAAAGAGTGACAAATAGAAAATTAATAAGTATACGCACCGATAATGGTGGGGAATTCTGTAACAGGCAATTCAAAGGGTACTTAGCCGAAAATGGAATTAGTGTTGAACGCACAAACGCGTACACCCCAGAAGAGAACAGTCTGTGTGTGAACATTTTAACCGAACGGCATTAGAACGCAGTTAAAACTATGCTTAATGATGGTAAAATGGGAAAAGAATGGGCAGAAGAAGCTCTTGGCTGTTTCGTACATACGTGGAACAGAGTATGTCATAAAAGCAACCGAACCCTTATGAAATGTTCCTAAATAGAAAACCCAGTGTTGTTATTTTAAAATATTTGGTTGTAAAGCCTATGTTGGCGTGCCAAAACAAATTAGAAACAAATGAGAAATAAATTACAAATGAGGTGCAAAGAAAGAATCATGGTAGGTTATGTGAAGGAAACTAGGGGTTATAGGATATGGCTGCCAGAAGAACGCAGATTAATAGAAACCTGTAATGTGAAATTCGATGAAAAACTGTATGCAGCAAATGGCATCCTGGAACAAAAAACAAAACCTAAATTCAAAAGACTAGAGCAATCTGAGCTATTAGCAGGATCAGATGAAGAACAGAAAATTTCTAGAGAAGAAATAAAGTTGTCAGATGACAAATCTACTCCCGAAAGAAGTATCAGACTTAAAAACTGGCAAAGAAAAGCAGTTAAAAGGCCAGATGGAAACACGTACAGACATATATTATTATGTAGAGGGAACAGACACCCGTTTTTAGATCTTATAATGATATTGAAAAGTATTGTGAGGCAAGAAATATTAAATTTGAAAAAGATAAGTTCGATTTTAGTGGAAAAAACGAATACTTGGGGAAAGTTTATTTTGTAGAACAGGAGACTAGTTCCATGTTTGAAGAGGCAAAATTCCGTAGAAATTGTTATCCCACAAAATTTTAAAGAAGCACGAAAATCAGTAAATGCCGAAGAATGGGATAAGGCAATGAAAGAAGAAATTGACACGATGAAGAAAAGAAAGGTTTGGGAATTAGTCGAAAAGCCAGAAAGTAAAACTATGATAGGAAACAAATGGGTCTATGCACTAAAAAGAAATGAAAAGAATCAAGTGATTAGATACAAAGCACGTTTAGTAGCACAGGGATTCAGGCAGAAAACAGGTGAAGGTTTTGATGACGTTTACAGTCCTGTAGTAAATTTTTCAATCATAAGAATATTTTTCACTATCCTGGTATGTTTATATGGATGGACTAATTGTCAGTTAGATGTAAAGAACGCATATTTATATGCAAACCTAAATGAGAAAATATATATGACCGAACCAGAGGGATTTATCGAAGAGGAAAATAAAGTGTGTTCATTACACAAGGCCATTTACGGTCTACATCAAAGCAGCCGTGAATGGTTTTGTGAATTTGAAAGTACTTTAGAAAATCTACATTTTAAGGAAATACAATGGTGTAATTGTGTTTATAAGAGTTCAAATGTAATTCTCTTGTTATATGTAGATGATATTGCGATTTTTAGTAAAGATCAATGTAGTATAGATAAAGTAATTTCACAGCTGAGTTAAGTTTTTTGGTCTTAAAGTATTAGGCAAAACTAAAACGTTACTTGGAATTGAATTCTTAGGAATGAGAATGGGGTTTTTATACATCAGCAAAAATATATCGAAGAAATTTTTGAAAAATTTAAACATTTCCAGATACCAATAACTTCACTTCCCATAGCTAAAGGCACTATTCTTACAAAATTAGATTGTCCATCTACAAGTGCAGAAATTGCGGAAAGGCATACATTACCCTTTAGAAATATGTTACAACGTTTAGTTTTTGTAGCTAACAGGACAAGGCCTGATATTACATGTGCAGTGAATATCTTATCACAATTTCAGGAGAATCCTGGAATTAAGCATTGGGAAGCATTGTTGAAATTGCTTGGTTATCTCAATAGTACTAAATTATATAAGTTAAACTTATCGAAAATTAAACATATAAATTTATATTGTTATTCAGATGCTGATTATGCAAGTAATAGAGATGACCGCGTTTCCATGGGAGGATTTATATAATATTTAGATGAAGTACCGGTAATCTGGAAAACTGTTAAACAAAAATGTGTAAGTTTATCAACCATGGAAGCGGAGTATATCACCTTATCTGAAGCAGCGAAGGAATTAATGTGGACGAAAAATGTCTTACAAGATGAAATTTTAAAGTTTAATTTAAGAGAGTGTAAACTAATTTGTGATAACAAGTCTGCCATTGATTTTTCTAGATCGGCAATAGAAAATCTCCGAACTAAGCACATAGACGTAAAATATCACTTTGTTAAAAGACTAGTAAATGATGGAGTGTTTGACCTTGAATTTATCACCAGTAAATTAAATACTGCCGACTTATTAACAAAAGCAGCAACTGCTGTTAATTTAAGAAAGTTTTGTTTAGATGTTTTCAGTGTTTAAAGACAATAAGTGTTTTCGTATAATAGAATTGAACTATGAACTTCTGTGTAAGTTTTGTTTTTGTCTTTGCATGAGGAAAAGAAGGCCGTTTGTTGGCTTTAGTTTTCCACATGCAAATTTTGATCGGAAGTCAATCGGCGGTAATCTAACGTGGTTGCCGCTGATTGGCCAATGACGTCAAGATCGGCGGGTTGGCCGAGCATTATATATATGTACGCCGGTATCGGCGAATGTCTTGTTCTCTTGTGTTATTTATGAGTTAGCATAATGCTTGTTTGTTTCAATCAAATGATTTTAAATGTAAAGGCTATAGTGTTAGCTCTTTTATTTTAATTTATGGAATAAAGTATGAATTTTATTTAGATTAGTCTTAGCTTTATTTAAGCAAAATATGCTTTTCCTTTATCACCACTGCCAACAGACATCAGCTTCGATCTTTGGCCCTTTTTGGTGACAGATATTTCACGCATACGCAGAATAATTATGGCAGATGTAGAAAAAGTTATATGTGTCTAGACCTTTATCCGTACTAAAAATAGCATTCAGTATTGAAAGTTAACCTGTGTCCTTCATCTATAAGACGCAGATAACTTTTTTGAGACCAATTAGGAAAAAAAGTGCGTCTTATATGCCGTCAAATACGGTATATTCTTTTCTTCTTTGATTTAAACTAACTTATACAGTCAAAAGTCTAATCCCTACTCGTTGGGACTTCGGCGATTCGGAATTATCGATTTTTCCGTATTATAGATCATCAGTTTAAATCTGGTAAAATGGCATGCAGAAATTCTAAAATTAAAAATATGAAACCATAATTTATGAAATAAAGAACAATTATGATCTAAAGGGTATCAAAATTTACAAGAAAGAAAGCTTAATATTTATTTGTTTACTTTATTAAACATTGCTTTAAATGTAAGTTGTTTAAGTTGCTTCGTTTTATGTGATAATACTTTCTCTTTAATTCTATTAACAGACATAATTTCTTGTTCAGTTACAAAGTTCTGCTGTTCAAGTCCTATAATTGCTGTGGTCGAGAATACCGAATAATTTGTCAATCGAAATTTTTTCGTTTTCGATAACCTCTGTGTCACTTTCTTCACTATCGAAAGCGAATTATAATGACATAAAATAAAAAAATCTGCCCTGAAGATAAGGATAGTGCTGACAGATCAACTTCTAATTCGTTGCACGCTGCGACGTCCCCCCCCTGCATAGCAGCGTGAAATTGATAAACAGATTTCGAAATGGTTAGAGAAACAAAGGATATGCCTTTATCCATTTTTGCAGCAATTCCACTTTTTGTTTGATGGATGTCGAAACATACTTCTGCTTTGTACATCCTTTGGCAGCTCCAGCATCGGAAATTCTATTTGACATAATCGAAAGGTCAAGCTTACCTTTATAAAATTGCTCTAACAGTATGCAAAAATTAATAAGCCGGATCCAATTTGGAGATTAAGGAACAACGCAGTCTGCAACATTAACTGAAATAGATAATTTTAGCTTAGCTTATACCGTCTGTTATACATTAAACGTGCATGCGTAAACGTATTATGCGCATGCGTAGAAGTATTACGCGAATGCGTGAACGCTTTATACGTTGACGCATGCGCAGAAAGTTTATAGCTTTGAGGTCCGGATTATAGATCATTCCGGATTATGGATATCCGGATTAGCGACTTTTGACTGTATTACCTATTTGTCATCGGCTTTGCCAAAAAGCAATTCATGTCCATAATCATTTAAATTTATTTATATAGTTGATAGATATCTTGAAAATTCACTCTTAAGTTTATACAAACATGCTTGTAATTTTTCAGTTTATTTTAGCTACATAGAATCTTAAAGAAAAATGGAGTTATGGGGTGAAATTCCCGTGGAAACGATTCCCAAAACATACCTTGAAAGTATTGAACAAGATTCCATAAAGGAATTTGTACCACTTGCACTAGATAATGAAGCAAAATTTTTTGAACCTGAATGCCCCGAACCTATTGAGCCCAGAAGGTGAGTTATTAGCTTTTTCTTTTAAATCTCTATTAATTATGTATAATATGTAAGTGCACGTTACAGTTATTCATACAAACTAATTCTAGACAGTGTCGCCCACACGATATAGTGGTTAGGAGAGCCTACTACGGTACCGAAGAGCCTAGGTTCGAATCCCGGGTAAGACATGGATGCTTGTAAATGTATAGTGTCGGTGTGGCATGGCGACATTCTAAATATTGTTGCGTGCGTACGGGTTCGTTACAAAATGAATGCACAAGTCCAATGGAAAATGAACAAAATTTATTATTATCACAACAAAAATGCTTAAATCTCCTCAGATATTCGTGCAGTATTACAATATCTCACAGTAGTTATAATAACTACTCAAACATTATAGAGAACTTAATTCAAAACAGCTAAAGAAAGCTAATCTGCGAATTCGCTACAGTCAACAAGAACAGTTTTCTAAACAAACTCTTAAAGCAACAACGAACTAACAAAATTGAGAGGTTTTCGTCCTTTTTAAAAGATTTTTAAATTGCGTGCGAGAATTTTCCGGAACTTTCTCGAAATCAAAAAGAGATATTTACTTATTAAATGTTAAATGCACATGCTCTTGTATTTTTAATTTTACGGCTTAGCTTTCCTTTAATATTCGTCATGCGCGGCACTGCACAGGGAATAAAACAATTTAATTTATAATTCAGCTAACTTTAGCTATTTAAATACCAAATCTGTAACACTGCCCCCTTCCCAAGGACTGCACGTCCCGGGCAGTACAATCCCTGTACAGGAAGCCGAACTTACAATTATGGCATAAGTGCAATACTAAGCATTACATTATAATAACAAACAACATGAGCAATCGCAATAACTAACTTTAAACAAATCAAATGCTATCAAATACTAAATACAAATCAAATACAAAACAAATACTAAACACACATTTAGAAACAAAAAGGACCATGGTGTTACACTATTTACAATTATTTACACTACGTACTATGGCCATAGTAATGAACGACTTTATGTTTAGAGTTTGAAGACTTACGGATCCGAACCATGACATCATTCAGCCTGTTTAGGTCTATGTATGGACCATCCCAAGGTAACTGTAATTTCAGACAGAGTCCTTTTCATCGGATTGGGTTCCACAAACACACCTCGTCTCCTTCTTTTAATCTGTGTCCAGTAGCTCTCGTATCGTATCTAGTCTTCACATTCTCTGTCACCCAGTTGACTTGCTTTCGTGCAGAACGGTGCATCTCTTCAAACCGAGCCTGGACATCTTGGATGTATTCCTCAGACGATGAAGGCGCAACCTTAGGGCGACCAAACAGGCGATAACAAGGCAGACGAAGGTCTTGACCAAAGAGCATCTGGGATGGAGAATAGCTGGTAGTCTTGCATTTCTTTTCGACCCTAGTATGATTTCGGCAGCTTCCCGAACTGGGTCTTTTGGACAAGGCATCGGCATTTCCAGGTGAGGATCCCTTCTGAGGATGGATAGTCATGTCCTCAGATTCTGAAAGCAGTTTGTTATTTTTGAAGTCCAAGGAAAAATTGTATTTCCTTAAAAAGTCCAGTCCGAGTATGCATGGATCTGTAATATCCGCCACATGTGCAGTGTGATGGTAGGCAGCACTTCCAAACGTGATGTTCACATTTAACTTACCAGCTATGTCGATCTTGTCACCAGACGCAGTCTGAAGGGTAACACACAATGGCTTCCAAATAAGTTTGCTTACCAGTTGTTGAGCCAAATCATTTCGGATAATGGTAACGTTGGCTCCTGTATCTATAGTCATATTGCAGGGAATTCCATTAATATGTCTTATTATGAAAAGTCCATTACTGCCACCTCTCACTGCAGAAATCTGAAGCACTTTAAACTGGGGCTTTTTATTATCTGCCAACCTCTGCCCCATGTGGTGGCCACTAATTAGTTTCCCTGCTGCTTGCTACGAGCGGTCTTAATATCCGTACCCTGGGGTGTTCTGCAGTTTCGTCGTATGTGTCCTTCAGCACCGCAGTTCCAACATTTTACGGTCGGTTACCTGTCACCAATATTCCATCTCAAGACGTTCAGTTGTCTAGTTAAACCGTCTAGACGAGCAGTAACTTAATCCCCTGGCTCCTGGACATGAGCAGCTCTGATAGGGTGGCGGTCTCTACGAGTTGCTTGTTGAGCTGCCCCGAATTTCATGGCATACACTAGAGCGTTTTTTTAATCTTTAACATCCGCCATTCATAGAGCCTTCTGTATTTTGGGATCTCGGATGCCATTGATAAAGTACTGCAGGGGCAGGATTTCCCTCGTTTCTCTCAGGCACTCCGTAAAGGCAAAGTGGGACAGCCTTTCAACATCTGTGGCAAGTTCCTGGAGTGATTCAGCGGGTTTCTGTTGACAGGATTTTAATTGAAGCCTACTGCAGTCTTTTAAACATTTCTCGCCAAAGCGCAGCTCCAATGCGCCGGATAGAGCTTTGAAGTCAAGTGTTTGGTTTTCTGGAAGCGTCTGCAGGATATCCACCACGTCTGCTCTCAAAGAAGTGGCAAGATGACAGGCCTTAGCTTGGGGATCCCATCCATTTGCTTCTGCCACTATAGAAAACTGTGTCTTATATACTTGCCAGGAGGTCTTCCCATCATATGTACATAGCTTCAGAGAGGGACGAGCAGGCATAGATAGAAATTTAAAACCTTCAGAATTGTTTCTTGCCATTGCTATGCACTTCTTTAGGCTATCAACTTCTTTGGCGATGGCAGCAGAAACCCTATCATCAATTTGGGTTTGGACGGCAGAAACCTTTTCTTCAACTCTGTTTTCAACCCTGTCAATTCTGTCTTCTATAGCTTCAAATTTGTTTTCTATTATGCATGTGATTTCTCTCTTGATTTCCTCTTGGCCCACTTTCACTTCTGCTTTAACAGCTTCCATCTTTTCTTGAACGGCTTTCTGTCCTGCCTTAATCTCTTCCTTGACGGTTTTTTGACCGGCATCCATTTTCTCTTTAATTTCTTCTTTAAAAGATGTTTGGCCAGCTTCCATCTTTTCTTGGAATGCAGCAAAAGCACTCTGAAGAGCTGCCTCAATTGTTCTTCCATCGCTCTTGTTATTGGCATTCAAACCCCACTCCTGACACCAAAAATTGTTGCCTGCGTACAGGTTCGCTACGAAATGAATGCACAAGTCCGATGAAAAATGAACAAAATGTATTATTATCACAACAAAAATGAATAAATCTCCTTATATATTCGTGCAGTATTACAATATACCACAATAGTTATATTTTAACTACTCAAACATTCAAGAGAACTTAATTCAAAACGGCTGGAGATAGCTAATCCACGAATTCGCTGCAGTCAACGAGAGCAGTTTTGTAACAAACTCTTAAAACAACAACAACAAACTAACTACAAAATTGAGAGATTTTCCTCCTTTTTATCAGATTTTTGAATCTCACGAGAATTTTTTGGAACTTTCTCGAAATCAAAAAGAATGCATGTGCTCTTGTATTTTTAATTTTTTGTCTTAGCTTTCCTTTAATATTCATCACACGCTGTTTAGTACAGATATAAGATATGTCTCTGGTACTGATAATTGTGTCGCTGATGCCTTGTCTCGGGTAAACAATATCAACCTCACTACCCCAGATTTCTCTGAAATTGCAAAAGCTCAATTGCATGATGAGGAACTCAAGAACCTAATCTCAAATCCACAAACCTCCCTTCAGTTACAACCGCTGCACATTGTTCCAACGCTTAAAATTTGCTGTGACATAGAGAACAATAGAATACGTCCGTATATTCCTGTCAATTTTAGACATGAAGTGTTTAATGCCTTGCACAATTTGGCACATCTTGGAATCCGTGCCACCAAAAAGCTGATCGCAGACAGATTTGTCTGGCCAGCAATGAATCAAGACATCACAGAATGGACTCGTTCATGTATTAGATGTCAACGGTGTAAAGTATCCCGTCACACTCACAACCCCATTCAACAATTTAACCTTCCAGCAAGATGCTCTGATCATGTGCGCTTAGACTTGGTTGGCCCATTGCCTCCTTCAAATGGTTACACTTACCTCCTCACTTGTATTGATCGGTACACAAGATGGCCTGAAGCCATTCCTATTGAAAATATATCCGCTGAAACTGTAGCTCCAGCATTCATCTCCCAGTGGCTTTCAAGATTTGGCATGCCTACCACCATCACTACTGACCAAGGCCAACAATTTTAATGTCACTTGTTCGCATCCCTCACCTCTCTTCTTGGCATTCGCCATATTCGCACAACACTATACCATCCATCTGGAAATGGGATGGTGGAACGCTTTCACCGATCTCTCAAACAAGGTCTGAAGTGCCACAGTAGCACACACTGGACAGAAACCTTACCCCTAGTCTTGCTTGGTCTTTCGCACAGCATTCAAAGAAGACATTGGTAGCACTTGTTCTGAAATGTTATATGGTGCAAAACCCTCCGTCTGCCAGGTGAATTCTTTCACCCAGAATCTACTCCAGTTATCGACCCTCCAACATTCCTTCAACGTTTACGTGAGACCATGAGCAATATCTCGCCAACCCCAGCATCTTCGCATAACCAGCCAAGCTATTTTGTACATCCTGCGCTTGAGACATCTTCGCACGTATTCGTGCACAACGATGCAATTAAGCCAACTTTAAACACTTCATATGATGGCCCATTCAAAGTTGTCAAACGAACACCGAAACATTTCACCATCATCTGCAATGGCAAACAAATCAGTGATTGGAATCGATCGTCTCAAACCAGCATCTCTAATGCAAGATCCAACAACTTCCTCATCATCACTTTCACTCACTCCCGGAAGAAAGCTTACATCCCCGTTAAAGAGCAACTAAAAACTACCAGATCTGGAAGAAAGGTTAAATTTAACCCAAAGTACTTATAACGTACCAATGGTACTTGGGGGGGAGTACTGTGGCGTTCCGACAGATACTTCAACTTCTATTCATGAGATGGCGCCACGTGTAAAATCCAGTTCTTAATCGGAGCAGCAAAGCGACGTCATTACTCTCTCAGACTTCTCGTGAGACAACTGTACACGACAGTAGCATGAACTGTGTTCCAAGCTCTGCATTGATCTCTGCAATGTAATTTAAATTGTAATTTAGTACTTAATATATTCTTTTGTTATAGGAGATTGTCTACTCTTATTTTCTTTAATTATATCATGCATTAAGCACACGACCACCAAAGAGCCAAACAAAAAATACATAATCTCAATAAACTACACTTTAAATCAAACAGTAAAATAACATAAAAAAGGAAATTTATCTTATGCATCTAAGCACTACGCAAAGCAAATATCCACTTACCTTATTTAGAAATTTCTGAGTCCTTCAGTCTGTGGTACACAAAATTCCTTAATAGTATCCAAAAACTTCCTAAAATTATCTGAACTAGAATCCGTATATCGGCGTCACTACATAAATTCAGAAAAATAAGTGTTAAAAATATCCTCTATAGTTAAACCATACACATTTCCTTCCTACAAACAGGACACTTATGATGGCTACTAAGTAAACCTTCATTTACACACCAGTCAATTAATGTGCGTTTCCCCTTTCATTCCAAATCGTACAGAAACTTAAAATTAATCTTACCACATTCAGCTGTTCCACTGAATAAACTACAAAACAAGCAATGTACTTGCTAACCAACACACACCATAAGTCCTTACAAATCTGTTTTCCATCATTCAAAATTTACGGCAATCGCGCAGCCAATTACATCATAATAGGTTTTTCATAACATTCAGCTACTCACGATACCATAAATGAAGCAACAAATTGACGATAAATGAAACAACAACTTAACGGTAAATGAAGCAATAACATCACAATGATACAAAGGGTACCCTTCAGTCTACTCTAGCCCATTTCTTTTCGGGTAATGTATATTTTTACAAAAAAAAAATAGAAATGGCTTATTTTTATGCTCCAATTATTTTTGAAACTATTTAAATGAAAACAAACTTTAAAACTTACTATGCAAAATCTCATTAAAAAATGTAATATTAGTTTCTAGTTAATAACAGCATTTTAAATTTTGTAGTAGAGTTCAAATAAGTGGCACCTGGTGATATTTTTTGAACAATCTTAAATAGCCACCCCCCCCCCCCCAAAAAAAAAAAAAAATTGAAAATTTCTCACAGATTAGCAAAGTTTCACTTAAAGTGCACAGCAATTTTTCTGTTTTATATAATTAGTTCAAAAATTTGAATATCCTATTTTTGGTAATTTATTGACTGACTTTAATAAATGCAGGTATTTAAATGCATACTTTCACAGTAACAGAGCCATCTAGTCATAATTTCAAGTTTATTTAAAGAAGTTACTTATCAGGTACAAGTTGTGATTTTTAAGAAAGTTGCCATTCTATCTGTATTTATCATAAGGTGGCAGACATTATCAATAAATCACGAGAAAACATAAGATCAACATAGAAGAAACATAGTTCAAAAGGTTTTTGATAGATAAACCTATTTTTTTCAGATCTGATCATTAAAAATAAATCCAAAATATTTTATGTACTTTTTTTTATTTTTGAATGTGTGTGAATATAGATATATATACGAATTCTCTTTCAGGATATATAAATATTCTTTAAATCCTCCAATTCTTCAACATACAATTGAGCTGCTAAAATATTCAAAAAAATTGAAAAATGCTGTAGATCAACTGGAAGAATATGCAAATAAAGTAAGAAAAACTATGATTGTATTATTTCAAAATCTATTTTATTTTTTAGTAAAAACTTAAAAATGTTAGTAATAGAATTTAACAGAATCTAAGTATATTTATTTTTGTTGCATATTTCAAGTTCTTTTGCTGCTTTTTTTCTATTTTAGTAGTTTATGCCCTATAAATCATACAAAAATGCAGAAAAGGATTAATTTTGGGTATAACCAACATGCCATAAAGCTAAACTAGCTATGTACTTCCTAACCAACACACACAAGAATTTGTGAGCTTCTTAAATATTTTATCCTTCTCCTTTAAAACTAAATTACATTGATGGTATGTGTGTTGGTAATATAAGCATTATTGCTAAAATGTATTTATATTTTATTATTCGCATTGTAAAAAGAAAGAATTACTAGTTGCGTAGAAGCTTCAAGTTGGAGATAAAACATCCACAAAACTCTTATCTTATTGTTAACTTTTATCTTTTACTGTCTGTCCTCTTCATCTTTAAAACATGTTTATACTTGCAAATTTTGTCAGTTACTGTCATTCTAAAAATCTTTAAAACATTTTCTTACTGTTGCCATTTACCATTTTCTAAGCTCTGTATTGCCATGACCACATGCTTGAAAGCCACTGGGTTACAGATTCCCTCTGTGGTTTGTACGACGTCTCAGAGAAGAGTCAGTTATAAATTTCTTTGGTCTGCCACATCTCCAGAGAGGTGTTAGCTGTCCCACTCACCGTGTCTTGAAGCAGGCAGTTCATAAACATGCAAGGCTGAGCTGTAGGACTTCATCTGGCTTTACTGGGTCAGCAGTATAATACGTAATGGGTGAACGATTGGGGATCGCTAAATAAGATCCTTTATGTTTGGGCATGAATTTGCAACTTTTTTTATTTTGTGATCTACTAACAGGATATAACGTCCCGCATAACATTAGTGGTGCTTCCTTCTTATGAAAAGAAGGAAAAGAGCTTAGGCAACGTTGCCCATTGCTCTTCCAACATTTGATCATTTAAGTCAAACATTTTAAATGGTAGTTCCCATGAAAGGTAAACAATAAATAAGTAGATAAGATCCCAAACTCATACAGCAAATATATAGTATCAGCAAAAGATCCCATCTCTAAATTCAGGGTGTCGGTTAAATCGTTAAAACTTCCCAATTGGATGAAGAGCCAATTCAATCCCTCCCAAACCACGAAACACAAACTCTTGACCAAACAAGGGTGCGATAGTGAGTCTTAAAAAAAAAAAAAAAAAAAAAAAAAAAAATTAAAAAGCAATTTTTAAAAAAAAAAAATAAGGAGGGCAGAGGTACTTTCTTAAGCCAAAGTGGCCAGGTGGTGTATAAAGATTTGATATCTATTTCCAAATTATATTCCAAAATACAGCTATGAGAGAGAGAGATCCCTGCATAGTTTCTTTTACAAAATAATAATAATAATAATAACTCGTAGGGTGTCTCAATGCTTGTTTCTTGTGGTTTCAAATTCACCTTACCTGTTGGTGTACCCTATTATGCCAGAGAGCCCTTTGTATAGAAGGGCTTGATCGAAGCTGATATAGGGAAACCCAAGGAATTTATTTCTAGGGACAGAAAGCACCAGACATCATCCCAGGAAGTGAAAAGGTGTTTTCTCTTCTTCTCTACAAGCTGGGCAGAGAGGAGATTCGACAAGACCACATTTGTTGAGATGCTTGGCCAGATAAGCATGTCCAGTAACAATTCGATTTACCTGGCGTAAGTTAGTTCTACTGAGGTATATGAGTTTACCTGATAAGTTAAGTGTACTGAGCACCAATTTAGAACGAGCACAGTCTGCTAGTTTAGACCATATATCATCATGTTTGTTCTTTATCCAGTTTCATACTTCTTTTTTAACAGTTTGATATGAAACTGGGTAAAATGGTTCTGTGCCAGACATGGGTAGTTGTGACGCATCTTTAGCTACTTTATCAGCTAGTTCATTTCCAGCAAAATCACAATGAGCTGGGACCCAAACTAAACTAATGGTATTATGGGCCTGAGCCAGAGAATTGAGATCTTGAGTACAGTTCAAAACACAGTTTTGTAACTTGACACGATTAGCCAGAGCAAGAATGGCTGATTGGCTGTCAGAGAGAATATATATATTCTTATCAAATATATTTTTAGCTAAGTGCTCCCTGGCGACCATATTGATTGCCAGAACCTCAGCTTGGAAAACAGTTGTTAGCTGACCAAGGTATAGGTGAAATCTAATGAAATCTTCTCCAGATTCCTTGGTTCTTATAATGGCTCCAGCTCCTGTGAAGTTAGATTTTGATCCATCTGTGTAGCTTTCAATTGATCCTGTTGGAATCAGGTCAGTTAGAGATTCTATCTCATTCCTTTTTGGTACATAAGTTGAGAATAGTTTATCTGAAACTATTGTTTTAGTAATTGCATCTTTGGGCATATAAATTATAGGGATCTCATTGCCCAAGTCCAGGCATATGTCAATGTGGCTTTTCAGGTGGCTTTTATGACTGAAACCTATCCTTTGGCACCATGTACCATTTTTATTCAACCTATACATGGCTTTAATTGCTTCTCCGATCAAGAATAATTTCAAGGGTTAACCTCACCCATACTTTGTCAGATTATCTGTAGGAATCTTTTGATCATTGACCATCATGATGTATGTTTTTTTTTTTTTTTTTTTTTTTCAATTAAACAAGCAAATTTTTTTTAGATATGAGTTTGTCTGCCACAAAATTATTGTCGAAAGAGCTCAGAATATTTATGATTCTTGATGGGATTATTTTTCTAAAATTGCATAGAATCTGTGTGATTCCATTCAAATGTCGTTGAATCGGGATGATTCATCTCAAACTGAATAGAATCAGGGTGATTCCACTCAGACCTCACTGAATTGGGGAAATTCATCAAGTTGCATAGAATCATCAAGTTACATAGAAATATTTTAGGCAATGCAGGAAGGTTCCATTGGTGCCATTGCACAATGTGTTCTGGGAAATAATGTTGAAATATAGCGATACTCATGTTTGCTGTTGAGCTGTCCTCTTAGAATGAAACTGTATCCTTCAATTGTCCTGCTCACAATTCTGTGATCTTCATTCTTCTTCCACATTAGCCACTAGTTGTCTGTGACAGAACCTGTTACAGTAAAGCCTTCTGCTGCTCTAATCAGCAGTTGTCCTGGCTAGTGATCTACAATATAGTAATGGCCTGGCTTCTGTTTACTGATGTAGGTATACCACACAGTGCATGCACATTCTGGAAGAGTTGCCAATTCAGATAGGTAGATACAGTATGTACCATCCTATATTACGAAAATAAAGAAAATTTACTCCCTTCACCCCCAAAAAAAGCAGGTTAGTGAGAGAATTTCTGGTTGCCATTTCCAGTTGCATTCTTAGAAAAAAGATGGTGAATTTAAATCATCTGAAAAATTTCTAATTTATCACCCAATAAAAATACTGTCAGCATACGGAGGAAACCTTAACTACAGAAAGAAAATTGACACAAGATTACCTCATAACATATTATTCACGGAAGTATTCTTCATCAATTACCCAATTTATGTAATATGTGGTTTACATAAATTCATTCAAACATAAATGTAAAAGGCCGTAATATTCAAACTAATATCTCCCAATTAGTACTAGGACTTCATAAATAATTCAGCGGCCTAGCGGTAACGTCGCTGAACACTGGTAGTTCGGTCCGAGGTTTGAATCCCGCGAATGGGCTGGCTGCATGGGCGTTTTCGTGGTTTTCCCCATGTGTAACGTATATATGAGCCAGTTTCCCTTAAAAAGTCCTCCACGAAGGCATCCCTCCCTTAAGGCAGATAGCCCTCGAGTGCTTTGCCGTAATCTAATAATCCAAACCAAACTAAACCAAACCATAAATAATTCCCCCTTTCTCTTTTTTTCTTTTTGTTCAAAAAGTATTCACGAGGTTAAGTTTGTCACTTGTTTGTCACTATTTATTCACAACAAAGGGATCAACTGAGCTTTTAATCTCATATACATGGAAGTAGCATAATTAGAATGAATGTACAAAACACCGAGTGGTTTGAGAATGGTAGCGGTCATATCTGTTCTAATGTGTCTAGTTACAAGGCCATCTGTGATAATAAAAAGCATATAAAGCATATGGCTATATATTCCCTTCTAGACATGTTTGTTAGATGCTACTCACAATATCATTAAGATGAAGATTCAGATGATTTCGCCTACCCTCAGCCTTCAAAATCAAGAAGTGTAAAAATTATCAAAGACTAGAAGTTCTCTTCACAAAAGTCCATCTTCATTGCATACTCTCCCACTACATGGCTCACAGTAGTATTAGCCATATTGAGTTCTTCCATGCAAAAATTTATTGGTATCATTATCTTAGGTCAGCAATAGATGAATGTGGTGGCAATAACAAATGGCAATCTACTTTCTGCAAACCAATTGCTGAGTTGCATTCCCACCAGTTCCATGTTTTTTGAACATTGCCATGTGTTCTAAGATTCACTCAAATAAAACTTCATTTTGAACAAATTGGAGCACTGGTGATTGCTTGGCAATATGTATAGTAAGAAACTAATAGTATTATCTTCATTGCTTGATAGATCTATGATCAAGCTGTAAACTCCAAAAAAATTCCTATCTTAAAACTGCAGATATAAACTGCTTATAGGCTTTCTTAAAACTAAGTGAAATCATGTGGTTGTAATAGCAATTATTTTGTGTTATGGTGCCAACTAGTTGCCTTTTTTGGCAAATTTTGGCTTTTTTCCATTAGCACATAAATACCAAAATTTTGACTTTTAAACTCAAATTTCTGTAAAGAAAAGTTATTTACAAATTAATGATTCATTTAAAATCTTAACCTTTTTATTTATATTAATTATATATCATCATATTTTATAGGAAGATGATGAGTGTAAAGAAGTGCCACGAATTCCAGATTTTCCTGAATTTCCTCAAAATTATCCTTTTGGTAATGGAAGTACAAAAGATCTTACATCAGGCCATACTTGCAAGTAATGATATGTTTATTTCGAAAAACAATGCTAGCCTCTTAAAAATTTAAAAATAGTAAAAAAAGGAGGAAAAAACTATTTGCTTTATTGAAAATCTACGTAAAAAATATATAATATTTCTGGAAAAAGAAAAATCGTCTTTAAAATAAATAATCTTTCTCTTCAAGTGTAGTTCTTAAGAATGAAAATTATATAATAACAGAGAAACATTTTTGATTAATTATAAGAAAATATTCATAAAACTAAAAAGAGGAAGGGAGTTAGGTGGTGTTACTACTAAAGTAGTATACTGAACATATTGAATTACTGTAATTTCGCGCGTATAGTCCGCGGACTATCTGTGTTTAAAATATTTGAAGCTGCGGACTATCCACCAGTGCGGATAATACACTGGTTGTTCACGGTTAAAATAGTTGAAATTTAAAAAACACGCTGTCGTGAACTGCCGATGATCAAATATAAAAAAAGCGCGAGATTCCAAGAAAACATTCGTATACATCGTATCGATAGTAAACCATAGAGCACAGTGCAGAACGAATGAGTAGTAGCAAGGAGCTTCTAAAATCCAGGCTGGCACATCAAGCGATGCCGGGATATGAGCACTCACTTAGCGCAACTAGAGTCTTGTATCCCAGTATCCTTCGCACTGCCGAGAGGGGGAAAAGTAGTTGATGCGTCAGCTTGGTTTTTAGGAGCCTTAGTAGCAAGTACCTGGAGTACGAAAAAAAAGTGTGATTCGTTTGCTTATAGCGTGGTTTGGCAACACTGAGTGAGTGGGGTCGAAGGTCACATTTCATTACCACTTATCACGAGGATAGCACGTTGCACAGTATTTTGTTTTCGTATTTTGTCTTTCATCTTCGATAACGTTGATGAAACATTGCCAGAGTTTTACTGCTGAGTTTCAACTCAAGGTAGTTGAGAAAGCTCAAAAAGATGGAAATAGAGAAGCGGGCCGTTATTTTGAAGTGGACGAGAAAGCGGTGAGAAATTGGCGCAAACAAAAGAATGTTTTAAAAAGCATGGGAAGAAAGCAATCCAATCGGCACGGAAAAGTAAAATGGACAACTTTAGAGGAAAATTTACTGAGATGGGTTCTCGACCAAAGAAATGCCGTTTGATGAACAAATGAATGACAAATGAACGACGACAAATGAAAATTTCAACAGTTAAAATCCGTTTCCGAGCGAAAGTCCATGGCAGAAGAGATGATGAGCAAAGTCCATGGCAGATAACGGATTTCAAGGGAGGAATAAATTTGGGTTTACCGCTTCATGTGTCGTAAAAACTTGAGAGTTCGCAGCAGAATGACAATGTGTCAGGCTGTTCCGGACGACGTAGATGAAAAAAAAACTTCTTTCCTTCACTTTACAAGGAAAATTATTGCAGAAGGGAAGTATTCCCTAAAAAATATTATAAATATGGACGAAGTTCCATTAACATTTGATTGCCCACCGAATCGCACCGTCGATACTTGTGGAGTGAAAACAGTATCAATAACCAACAATAAAGTCAAGAAAAGACCCAATTCACAGTGAAGCTCACCTGCTATGCTGACGGCACAAAGTTGAAGCCGCTCTTAATCTTTAAGAGAAAAACAATTCCCAAGGAAAATTTTCCTCCAAGCGTCCTAATACGGTGCAATGAAAAGGATTGGTGCAACGAGGACATTATGCTCGATTGGTTTCAAGAAGTTTGGAAGAAGAGAGAAGGTGCCTTTTTCAATTCCAAACGAGTACTAATTATGGATTCCATGAGGGCACACATAAAAGACAGTGTAAAGGCGGAAGCTACAAAAAAAAAAAAAAAAAAAAAAAAAAAAAAAAAAAAAATCGGTGTTGAACTTAGCGTTATTCCAGGAGGTTTAACAAAAATCCTGCAACCTCTGGATATTAGCGTGAACAAAAGTTTGAAGTTCCACGTACGTTCTTGCTGAGAGATCTGGATGTCGGAAGGTTTACATACTTTCACAAAAGGAGGAAATATGAGACACGCTTCATACACTGCAGTTGCCGAATGGGTTGATAAATCCTGGAAAAGTGTTAAAGTGTCAACCATCCGATTATGATTTATAAAAGCCAGGATTGTTAGTGAAAGCGAGGAAATCACTGACAGTGAAGATAGTGATGCTAAAAATGAACTTTTGGACAATCTTCCCGAAAATATATTAGAACTGTTTAATTCTGATACTGATGAATCGGACTTTGAAGTTTTTCGTGAATGTAGTAGAATGTGTGATTAATTAATATATGATTTATTAGTAAGCACTGTGTTTTATTTGTATTTAGCATTTTATTTCTGAAGGTATATTAGTAAGTAAGTACTTTTTTTCTATTTATACTTAGTTCTTTGTTTCTAAAATACATTAATATTGCCGTATTAAAAAAACGTAATTTCGGACATATAGTCCACGGACTATGCGGTGGTGCCGACTATCTGACGATTTTTTAATTTTTTTTTATATAAAATCGTGTCTGCGGACTATATGTGCGAAATTACGGTAATTCCTCCCAAATCTAAATCTGTTGAACTATCACTGGATAAGGAGTGCTTTTCATATTCTCATATTTGTTCAATGTATTTATTTTAAATATTCTAATTAATTATAAAACCTACTGTATGTTATCTCAGTTTGTATGTAATGTAATATGCAGGGTGTTTCATAGATCATGGGACAAACTTGGAGGAGTGGTGGAGCATACTAAATCATAAATTTTTTTATAGGAATGTAGGGTCTAAAAAGACGGGTTAAGGCAGAACGCAAAAAAACGACATGAGAGGAAAATGTGTTTATGTACAAAATCAGTGCAAAGTACTTCTTTGTAGCAATACAGAAGTCACAATAAATGTTCAAAATTGCGACCACCAGCAGTAATACATGCTTGGTAATGTCGCAGAAGGGATTGACGAACATTTTGAAAAATGACAGGCATTTCACGCACACTTGCAGCCGCAATGACGAACGATGCTACGAGGTCCTCCAGTGAGTCAAAGAGAGTCTCGTAAATGATACTCTTCAGATGGCCCCATAAAAAAAAAATTCCAAGCTGGATAAATCTGGCGAACGGGGTGGCCATTGAGCGGGCCTACCACAGCCAATCCATAAGCCTAGAAATGTCCCATCCAAGTGATTGCGGATCTGCACGTCGTTATGGGCTGGTGCACCATCATGCTGGAACAACATGCGATCACGAATGACAGCCGGAATATCCTGCAGCTATTCCAATAGCACCTCTTGCAGAAAAATATGATAACATAAGTCATTTGTATGTGCAGGTAAGAGGTGTGGACCTACGAGGTAGTCGTTAACAATCCCCCCCCCCCACGTTCACGGAGAAGTGGGTTTGGAATGCATGTGGACATGTGGCGTGTGGATTATGAGTTGACCACACATGCATGCTGTGGCTATTGAAGATGCCGTTCTGTGAGAAAGTTGCCTCGTCCATGAATAGCACATCCGATGGGATATCCGCCTGTGCGGCACACTGCTGCAAGAACCAATGACAGAAATGAACTCGAAGAGGATAATCTGTCTCTTGCAATGCTTGGACTCTCTGCAAATCTTATGGGTGCAAACCATTTTCATGGAATGCTCTCCAAACGTGGAATGACTCAGCTGCCGTGTAATAGCTCTTATACAACGTGTAATAGCTCTTATACTTGTCTGAGGTGATTCATGCACAATGTTCAAGATGGATTTTTCAATGCGAGGTTGTCGTGCACTTCTTCTTCCACTCCTAGTGTCAGAGGTGGCTTCAAATCACCTGTTTTCACCAATGCAACCTTTACGAACATTGTGTGCTTTGGCATATGCCTGTTCGGAAACTATTCCTGGTACAACCGTAGCGCTGCTCTGCCATTCCCATTACACCATGCATGAGATGCATGTCAGCTTTTTGCCTGTGCGTAAACTCACCCATCACGTTTGACATCAGAGTTACGAATGATCCTCTGATGCATCGGATCGTTTTTTGTCTGGCTCACTACCGCCCTCTACTGCTGCATTGCCAGCCAATGACAGCTGTAGTTCCTATTACTGTTAGTGTTCCCTTTTTTGAATATTTATTGTGATACTGTATTGCTGCAAAGAAGCATTTTATGTTGATTTTGTACATAAACACATTTTCCTCTCGTGTCGTTTTTTTTTTGTTCCTCCCTTAACCCGTCACTTTAGGCCCTATATTGCTATACAAAAAATGCATGTTTTAGTATGCTCCACCACCCCTCCAAGTTTGTCCAATGGTCTATGAAACACCCTGTATATATACATAACCTTTGTATAACATGGTAGATACCCAGGCAGCATGCATTCATAAATTGTACGAGAAAAATACATGCAATTTACGAATGGCCCTTCATATAAAAAATGTTCAAGTTGAACGTAAAAATATCATGAAAAGTGTCCAGTGGCAAATACTAGATATTTACGTATATTTTTTACGTTATATTATATGTAAGTTTTACATAAAATTTAGGTATATTTACACGAGAGACTGCTGTTCATTCGTAACTTTTACGTATAATATACATAATTTTCAGGGATTTACGTATATTTTTATTAAAAATTTTAAGTATATTTATTGCATATACGTAAATCTCTCCAATTTTTTTGCTTCGCGTATGCGTATATATTTAGTAAAAATTTAAGTAAATCTCCCCGATTTTTTACTGTATATAAACGTATATATTAGAAAGAAATTAAGGTAGATATTCCCCATATTTTATGGTACAAAAATGTATATGACATTTTTGTACCATAAAATATGGGGATTTGATAGAAATTAACGTAGATATTCCCTGTATTTTACGGTACAAAAACGTATGTATTTGATAGTACTTGACCTAAATCTTGCATATGCGAATGACTTTGGTAAAAATTTAACCCCATGTCTTCTCCTCTTTACTGTGTATAAATGCATAAAAATTTTTGCATAAATCTCCAATTACCTTTTTACTGCATTTTCGTAAAATGTACTTTTGGCGAACGGCTCATATTTTTG